AAATGACCAAGAAGTGGGTGTTGTTATTTCTAGGAAACGTGCCTGCCATGACTGGTGACTGGGTCTATCCATCACAGCACCATTGACAGTTTGTGCCGAATCACTCTTCATTGGGGGTGGTTCCCCAGGCAGTATAAGATAATTAGCATTATCCCTGGTCTCTCCCAGCTACACCCTTCCTCTTCAGGTGGGATGAGTCATTGCCACCTGTCCCTGGAAGACACAATTGCCTCAGCTGAGATCCTCTGCTTTGTGGCATCAATAATGTAATCCAGATCTGAGCTCATGTATTTTATTCTAGAAGCCACACTGTACATCACCATGGTCTCTATTGCTGATGCTGAACCTGCACATACCTAAAACACTTCTGTCTTCAACAGACAGTCCAGAGATAGTGCTGTCTTCTCCTTTTCTGTAGAGACACCTTCAGAAGCTTTCTTTTCCATTCCTTTGCTGTCTTTTGGTGGAGGGGAGGGTTGTTCTAGAGTTGGAAACCAGGTCATTGAGAAAAAGCACAGCCATTGAGCTACATTCCCAGCAATTACTGGCATTTTCTGTCTTTTATAACCTGAATTTTCTGCTTTTATTGAATGGTATTTCTCATCCATATCACACAACCTGATGTTCTCTCTCTCTCTGTCTCTCTGTCTCTCTGTCTCTGTCTCTGTCTCTCTCTGTCTGTCTGTCTCACTGCCGAGTCCTTCCTAGGTCCTTCATCATTTCACTGTCCATGCTCTGTGGTTCTGTCCTCACTTATGTCATCCCTCTCATCTCCTCCCTGCGTCGTGTGCTCATGCCATGCAAATGCTGTACATCTTTCAACAGCTTCCCTTAATAGATGATTACACTGATTTATAGATAATTTGGGTAAGGTGAATTTTCACTTGGGGTTGTTGGTTTACTTTCAGGCATATTTGAGAGTCCACACCTCAGGTGTAGATATCTCCAATCTCTGGAAGTGTGGGGTGTATTCCCAAGGTCAGTGGAAATTATCCAGATCCACCCTTTTAGAGGACTTTTCTGCTTCTCTTGCACACAGGTTGGAAAGTAAATGGGGGAAGGACTGAGGAGACAACTGTTCTATCAGAAGGGCAAAATCTGACCGTGACTCCTGTTTCAAAATGTAATTCCCTCATGTGTCAGTAGAATAAGAGTGATGATGTTAGGGTGGACACAATTGCTGGAGACTGTGTTTGAATTTTAAAGTAGGTGACATATTCCTGCAGTACTTGATTTTAACGTCATTTATGTACCAGTTGTCAAAATATTGGGAAAGTCCAAGTTTGCCTTTATTTTTTCTTTTACTCTTTAATTGCTAAAATAATAAGGAAAAATCACTCTGCTTCATAATCAGCCATTACTAACTAAACATTATTATTTCACTTGTCTGTCAGAAGCAAATATTTAAATTTAATTAATTGAAAAACATCTATAAAATCTTGAGTCTTGTATCTTCTGTGAGCTAATATATTCGTAAAAGCTTTTGGTTGCAAGTGGCATAAAACCAATTCAAACCAGCTGCTATAAAAAGAGAAAATTAAATAGCTCAAATACTAGGAATTCCCAGAAGATGGATTATGAGATTCTGCCATAGCTCAATGCAGGGATTTGGAATATACAACTTTCGATGTCTCTATTTCCTTTCTTAAACAAATGGCAAGGAGATCACTGGCAACTTCAAATGTATAATATTTCTGGTTTTTAGTTTCAGAGAACAATCTAGCATCTAGGAAGCATTTCAGGGAGAATCCTAGCTGGTTCATTTAATTCATCCTCAAACTAATCGTTAAATTTAGGTTGGTGAAGTATTTTTATTGACCAGGCTCGGCCATCATGCTCAGGGTTTGAGATTTAAAGCTCTGTGAGGACCATCTGGAAGGTGGAAATGACAAGTCCCCAAAGGAAAAAACTTGATGCTAAAACCAGAAAAATGGGAAAAGGATGTTGGTGAGTCAGAAGCAAGATATTTTCATTTCAGGCACAAGGTTTTATTCCTTACGTATCTTGGACTGTGTAAATCCTTTCATAAGGTCATTCTATCAAAGGTCAGTACACTTGCATTAAGGTTGCGGTTTAAGTTTGGTCTTAAAATTTTGTTTCATTTCTACTGCTGTTAAAAACCTTCTCTGTTCAACTGGTTCTTTTAACTCTAACTGGAAGGTAATTCTAGGAAGAGAAAACGTTTAGCCTCTCTCTCTCTTTCTCTGTCTCTCCCTCTGTCTCTGTCTCTGTCTCTGTCTCTCTCTCTCTCTCTCACACACATACACACACACACAGCCCTACCTGATTTCTAAACTTACAGAGAGAATTTAACATCATAATGTTATTCCTAGTTGACTTAGTCCCATCTGATATGTTGTCTCATTTGTTTAGTCTTTGAACAGTGCTCTGAAAAATATAATTCTATCAAATTTCACATCTCAGCTTTTTATACATACTTGCTTTGTCTAGGCCTGTGCTATCCAGTATGGAAGTCAGTAGCTACATTTAAGCTGTTTAAGTTTAAATTTAAATTCAGTAGCATTAAATACAATAAAGCATTCAGTTTTCAGTTCCCCAGTCACATTTCTAGTACTTGATAACCATGTAAGCCTGGTGGTTGCCATAAGAGAGAGCACAGCATGAAGCGTTTATGTTGTCCAAGTAAGTGCTATGGATAGGGTTAGGGTAGCTCACAAAATTTTCTGTATTAAAGACAAAAATTCACTTATTCCATGCATCTGGATTAATCATCCCCTCCATAAAAAAAATGGAAAATTAATTGATCATAAAATCATAAGGAAAAATCTATGCAGAGTGCTGATTATGTACTATAAATCATGAACCATTTAAAATAGTTTTTAGCATGGTCAAATACTTTATTGTAGATTTTTACACTTTGCAATTCATTTTCTAATAAGTGAAGCATTCTTTTTCTTTCTTCATTTAGAACAAGTCACACATTTTTCAGCTTTCACTTCCACTGCTTGCCCTTGATTTAGTCTACATTTCTGGCCTTCCTAAATTTATTGCAATTCTCTAAAGGTACTAGAAACTGTCATGGCACCACGTCTTTAGTTTTGCTACTTTAAGCACTAGGAATATCTTTTCTTAGTGCATTCCATGTGCTCACCAACACTTTTTTGTACTCCTGTTTGATGTCAGATATTTAGTGCAAAGCCTCTCTATATATCCACACTAGAAAATGTACCACCTTGTGTTGTGATCAGTGCTTTGCCTAAGATCTTCTCTTGCTATACACTCTCTTGAGAGCTGGGCCTGTGTGTTCTCCTGCCAACCCAGCCTGTGTCTATCACATGTCAAGTTTTCAAAATGAAATGCATTAGAATACTATTCTTGCTCTGTTATAAATCTCTATCTCTTCTCCACTGCTGTTGTACACTGACTACATCTTGGTCAACGTGAATCATTCATTCATTGCTCTCTGGACATGCACGTACTCCCCACCTTCTGTAGCTTTCTCTCTTCCTTTCTCCCTAACATTCATCCTGCATTGCCAAATACAAATAGCTTTCCAAATAGTGCCCATCCAGGAAATGTCCGTCCCCGCGCCATTCTCTCAAAGTGTTCCGGCTTATCATAGTCTGATTTTTGTTGTCATTGGTTGTGGGCGGGTCTGTCTTTCTCACTAGCTTGTGACCTCTGCAAGGACACAGCAGATGTCCCATTCATCTTCACTTTTCTCTTGTTCTCAGCACAGGGAGTTACTCCTAACTGACACCAGAGAGCGTTGAATTGTTGTGCAAAAAATCACTTCCTTTAAAAGACACACATAAACAAACAAACAAACAAACAAACAAAAAACCAGTGACAGCTTTGCAGGAGAGAGCACAATAAGCTGAAAAGCCATCAGTTTTTATCATAACACTGCCTCAGGGTCTCTCCAGCTGTTTAGAGGTTGTTTTCTAGCATCTATAAGAGCTATGGACTCTCAGAAATGAACAACACAGTTAGGGCTGAGGGCTCACCCACAGGAAGTGCGAGCTGACGGAGGCAGTGAGTCCACATGCTGGAGCTTAGCCGTGTATGACAGAGTTTGCTCACCACAGCACACAAAACAGAGGAATGTCTGTGCTCTGTGTCTCATACACATTTTGAGTTTTGATATCTAAAAACAGAGTCCTAAGCTCAAGAATTTCTGCAACACTGATGTGAGTAACATTTCAAATGATTGAGAAGAGTTAAAAATAGTTATCTAGTCTCAGGCATGAGGGAAAGTATTCAAGTATTAGAAGAACAGAATTTTCCATCTTGAAAAATTTCAATCATAGATTTCATCTTCTCCAGGAATAGCAAATAAAAGAGATTTCATTAGCTGCCTTTTCCCATGGTTATGCAAGTGATTTCCAAACAGTTGCATAATTATTTTAAAGAGTAAAAATATGACCCCATATTTCTCAGCACAGAGCTAACAATGTATAATTGGCTTGTGACTGATTTTATTTTTACTGCCCATCCCACCTCACATGTGAGATGAAGAAAGTAAATCCCAGGGAAGGGAGAGGGAGACTCAGTGAATCCATGAAAATACAGATCTGTGTCCCAGTGGGCTACTTTTCCATGTTGCCTACCTAAGTGTCCTTCTCCTGGAAGTGGTTCCTAAAATGACTTATATATTCCAAACAAAGCATACATGCCAATAACCCACAGCACTTTATGGAAGTACTTGCAATATCAAGCCCAGCAAGACTCATGATATTTGTGGCACTCCAAGTAAAGAAAACAGCATTTCTCTCCCAATCACCGTAAACTGTGCTCAGACTAGCTCCTCTGTATCCTAAACTAAATAAGTTTTTTTCTCTAGCCTTATTCTGGAAAAAATGCTTTATGCTGTCCAGGACACCCTCTGGCAAGCATATAATCAGACGTGAACCTTGCCTAAAACCTTCAGGTCTTTCACTACCCTGCATGCTGCTGCTTCCACACCAAGGTGGCCCTGAGAAAGCCTGGGGCTGCTGGAGGGTGCAGAGCCCAGTTTCCAAAAGCTTTACAGTTCTTACCTCTTCCTTTCAGTGCAGCTGCTGCAAACCTTCCCAGAGGGAAAACTTGAAAGAGTGTCTTAATAGCCTTGTTCAGAGCTGCAGAGGGGAAATTAGACCTTTCTGCAAATTCAGCATGGTGCTGGTTTTGGCAAAGCAAAGATCTCAGATGGCCTCACTGGCACTGGGGCTATCTGGGACTTAACCCTTTCATCCCTGAGGGTAGGTGTCTTGGTTAATTTTCTCTCATTGCTGGAGCAAAATATCTGACGCCCAAAATTTAGGAAGGAAAGGTTTATTTAGCTCACAGTTTGTGGAGGTTTCAGTCCATACTTGGCAGGTTACAAGGCAGAGTGGCACATGGCAGAGGGCTACAGCTCATGGCGGCAGAACACAGAGAATCAACAAACACTAAAAGGGAGGAATGGCCACAAGCAAACTCTTTCTCTTCCTTACATATGCAAACTATCCACCCCAGGGTGGGTGTAGCTCTCACACCCATAATCAATCAAACTCTAAAAGCCTGCCCCATGACCACATGAGGCTTTGGGGGGACACACAGACACAAACCATAACATTAGGAGAAAGTGAGAGAGACAGAGACAGAGAGAGAGGAGGGGGAGAGGAAGAGAAGATAGGGAGGAAGAGGAGAAGGGGAGGGGGAGAGAGAGGATCCTTTTGTATCAATTTCCCTCTGGAAACAGACTCTGGAGCCCTGGGCTTTCTGGGGGTCTCTAAGATTTTCTGCTTTGAATGGGCATGACTCTAATGGCCTTACTTCTGATCCAGAAGTGCACATCTGACCTATACAGAACCAACTGAAACACTGTATCATCACATTACTCTGGTCACATTGCTAGTGTCCCATTTGGGCTAGAAACCACTCTGTCACTTACCAAATTCATAAACAAATTTCACTTTTCCTTCCTGAGGGTAACCATACTCATAGAAAGCTTAGAGCTGATGCTGCCCATGTCTTAACCTCTTCTGGAGAGTCTTCCTGAGAATTATTTACCTACAGAGAAAATATGGTGTAAAGATTGGAAATGACATTATTCAGCCCCTGGATTCAACTGTGCCAGGACTTCACCCTTTCTTGGTACAGTTAGTTGGTACCATATATCTATTTGCTTAGAGATATTACAATGGTTTCCTTTGTTTACAATTTCAACAATGCTGATTAATAAATATTCTTATAAAAATGAGGGCAATAGGGCCAAAAATAATTGAGTAATCTCATTTCCAAAAAAGTTAAATACTGGCATAGTTTCTGTGGAGAAGGATTTCTTACATAATTGCTTGTGCTGCTGTCCTTTGTGATTCTGTAAGAGAGATTGTAGACAGAGATATTGTCTAGACCTCTGCTACCATGGACTTGGTTCTTTACATTATTTCATTTTTTTGTAGAACACCATAATTTGGTGAAAGCTTATAGCAATGTCTTGGGAGCATCTTCAATTTACTTAATAATCAGTGAAGATAACTATAAATCAAAAGAAAATCATTGGCAATGTTGAATCATTGCTGAAGCTAGAAATACAGATGTTTTACTAATGGTTCATTTGGTATACCTAAAGGCAGAAAAGGTAAGTGATATAGAAATGATGTTGGGTAGGAAGGAAAGTCTGGTATCAATTTCATAAACCTTACTCACTAAGGAATTGTAAAACTCAGATTTTAGTGTGAATGACACTACCAATTACTAAAATTTATTGGGTGATTGTTATATGCCAAGCACATGGCTAAACTTTAGATTCACCACAATATTATGCAATTATTACATTTTATTTCCATTTTTAAAATTAGGAAATTAAGGCTTACAAAAGTTAAATGACTTATTTGTTATGTGTTATGTGCAGAGTCCGGAGTTGATCCCAAACTTGTGTGTCATTGCTCTAGTTTATAACCATTGTAAGTAGAGTTTGCTCTGTTTGATCTAGATCCTTCCTTTACTCTCCACTGAATCCCTCCATGCTTCTTGTCTCATGGTTATCTCTTTGGAATTTATCTATTGTTCAAATAAATATCCTTACTGTTATGAATCTAAATGGATGCAGTGCTATGGTCAACAAGTACAGTGGATGTTTAAATTTAAAAAAATATACATATTATAAGTCAAAGACATATTGCCATTAATCCACCTGAGAATACTCCACTTGACTTCAAACATAGTTATGCTATGATTCTTGCCACTTTCAGAAGTAGCTCTGGAAGTTCTGTTTTGTAATTGTCTTTAGTTGCACTGTGGGGCTGCTTTGATGTCCTAAATTAGTTTGGAATATTGAACTTTCATGGTCATTTTTACTTTGAGAAAGAGCTAGAAGTCACATGGTGCTAGGTGTGGTGAATAAGGTGGATGAGGACATACTGTCACATTTTCATTCAACAGAAGTTGCCATAAACATTTTGAATTGATTGAGGACTTTGGGGCAGCCACAGAGAGACATTCATGAAAGACTTTCCAAACCAGTCTGAAAAGGGCAAGAATGATGGGACAAGTGTGTCTGAAGGTGAGGCAGGAGGAACACTTTGAGGGGGACTGAGGGCAAAGTGTCTTTTACTGTCATCAACTTTTATTGAAATATTTATTATATTTTTATCATACCTTTTCAACTTTTCCCAATTTAATTTATAGCAACCTCTCCATTTTGCATGTATCTCTTTTCCTTATATTTTCTGTTCCCTTTATCTTCTTTCCCTATCTGTGTATCCCACTGGAATGTACTCAAAAATGTGTCTCCCAAACTCTATCCCCCATCACAACAAGACATTCTTTCCAGCTATGGGAAGTGGAGTCATCAGTAATCTTGGGCTATCATCCCTTTCAGGGTCTATGTCAGCTTTGGGGAGCCTCCCCTCCTTTTCAATGATCTGGACACTGTTCAGATGCATACATTGGTTTTTGAGTGACTTGTGTCTACAGATTTTTATAGAAGAGCTGATCTGAAGCTGTGCTAAATGGAAGGCTTATAAGTAGAAAAAGTTAATATCTTGGTTGAGAACTTACTCCATATCATGGTGGGATAGAAGAAACCTTCCCTACAAAACTGTATGGCACTACCTCAGGCAAACACTTCATAAAATTTAGTGGAGACTTGAAGTCTCTGAGTTTTGGGATCCTCATGGTCAAATTCAGGGAAGAACTCCTTGACCTTTAGAGCTTGGTTCTCAGAGGATCCCCCACACCAATATGTTCCTTTTGTTCTTTGTTTCTCTGTGTTCACCTGTGAAAGTAACTGACTGTTCTGGAGGTAAAGAAGGAGTATACAGTTATGTGTAAGAGAAGTAGACACAAACAAATGTTTCCACAGTAGAAATGTTTCAACCATGCTGAACTTTACCACATGAGTCCAAGGAAGCTGGGATTGTGTTAGGGAAAATGTGATTCCAATTCTATACTAGATTTCTTCACATTTCTTTTACTTAAATCACTTTAATTCCACTCCTCAAGAAACATAGCATTAACTAAAATTTCTAGAGATGTTAATAATAACTGTTTAGTTCTGTTTACAGTTTTCAGAAACACTTGTTTGGAAGAAGATGATATGGGTTAATTAAAAAAAAAACACTTCAGTAAATGTTAAATTCTAGGAAGGTGGATGATGGAGAGAGAGGACCCCTTAAATCTAACTTAAATTAAAAAGATGTTTGTGAAGCCAAAAATAAATCTTGCTCCAGAGTGATTACCAGATGAAACATTTTAGTTAGTGGATGGAGAACTGGCCCATATTTCATGTTTCTAGCCCGTGTTTGCTCTTTGCATTACCTGAAGGGCCTGAGTGCTCCACTGATGAATGCTTTGGAGGTTTAAAAGATCATTTATCACTACAGCTAATGCCATTTTCTGAAACATAATCCAAAGGCACTTTGTGGAAGGTATTTTCTGCCAGAAAGTGTTCTCACTGTCACCTTCAGATGGTCGGAGGTGCCACCACTTTTAAAGTCTAATGATCTGTGCTCCTTCCCTTCTTTATTCTGGCCTAAAACCAATGGGTTCCCTGAGTGCATACTATTTTTAGTTATCTTCCCCCAAACCCTAGTAGGGATGGGGTCATGGGATGCTGTCATGAGCTACCTTAGCAAGAAAGAGTGATGCCTTGTAAATTCTCCATGCACTGGCTGAAAAGCTCTTTTGAAAAAACAGGAGTGAGGAAAACATGATAACTAAAAGAAGATGGCATCTTGATAAGCTGGGGGTAGAGCAGAGATGAACAGGGAAGAAAAGAAAGAACAGTAGGCATCTATGTGAAGGGATCCCAGTGATACTCAAAGATGGAGAGAGACACACAGATTTGCCTCAACCCAACCTTGTCTGCAAAAAGGGGATATTGGTCTACTTCTAGTTACACAATCATTCAGAGGTTTCAGTGCTAGGAGCCTATTCATTAGTATCAATAGGTATAAAAAGATTTTATCACTATTACAAGGTGCTTGTGCATCCCTTGACAGAAGCAGTTGCCCATGTATCACCTGAATTATTTATTTGACATATTGTACAATATTGTGAATTTTATTTTTATATAAAATGCAGTAAGTATAAGAACAGGATATTGAATATTATAAATAATAACTACTGTCTGTCAACTCACATTTGTTAAACTAACATTTTATTATATTTGGTTTAGTTGTTTCTCTCTTTTTTTAAAAAATAAAATACTATACATAAGCCCAGAAATTTTTCTCCTAGATATTTCCCCAAGTGAAATGAAAAGATATATTCTCATAAAAAACCCTGTGCATTAATGTTTACCATGACTTTATTTATAATCACCCAAGCCTGGCACAATCCAAATGTCTTTTTTAGGAAAAGGGATTCTAAATTTTGGTTCAACCATTCTATGGAATACGACTCAGCAATAAAAATCAGTATACTATCAATGCACACAAGAACGTGTGTGAATTTCAAGTGCATTGTTTAGTGAATGAAAAGATACTCAAAGGCTACATACTATCTGATTACATTTATACATTTTGGAGAAAGATAGCTCTATAGACATGGCATGTGTTAGTGCAGGCCAGAGGATGAGGGTGGGGAAGAGTTGAGTACAAAAGGGAAAGAGAGACTTTACATGTAATCAGTCTGTTCTATCTCTTGATGA